TCTGTTATGAGTTCCCTCCTTTTTTTCCTGTTACGACTCTAGTATGCAGCACTAGTCATACGCTAGTTAGTTATCCTCCACGTGGAGCAATTTCAATGGGTCGATTAGACCGGCTCGTATTATTAATTGAGGCTATTTCGGTTCGGTTCGATTTTGGTTTCTTACTATTAATTCGGATGATTTGTTTTTTTTAATGCACCACTAATAATATATGGTCGGCTTCGATTAAATTAAATCTGGTTCTGATAAAACTACAATTAATTAAACTCTAACCGATGCAATCTTGGCTCGGTTTAATTTCGATCCGGTCAAATTTTCCTAGTTTCAATCTGTTAAACCGGCCTTAATTCGTGGTTTAGAAATAAAACTGTGTAAGGGATACAGAAATTGTGCTGAAAATTCAAAAGAATCATCTAATAACCGAAAGATTAATCAATGAAACATCCACAAATCAGACCAACAATTAAACCAAAGCAAACCGGTTTAACCCAAGCTTGACCTTGTCATCTCATAAGCTAAGAAGCAAGCAGCATTAGCAGGAACACTCCTAGCCATGGCTGGACCAAATCCTTTATACAAACCTTTAACTCCTTCAGCTTTCAGAATCTTCCTAAAAGCATCCATCGAACCAGAGTATTTCGGGTTTTTATAATCGTCGACTTGAAGAACACTCTTCACAACATCGGTTGGGTACACAATTCCCCAAAAGGAAGCTCCTGCAAGTCCACCAGCCATGATCAGTGATCCTTGTCCTAAGCTTGAAGTGTCTTGACCACCAGCTACAAACTGCTTAAAAGCTTCATAGACTGCAAACATTGTTGCGTTTCCCGGGACTTCACGGGCAAATGTCGGTAGTAAACCTTTGAATAGACCTCGTGCTCCACCTTCTGATCGTAGGACATGTCGGGCTACGTCCATTGGTCCACCGTATTTCACGGCTGCAACCACTGAGCTTGTGGTAGAGGCGCTGGCTAGTCCACCTTGTGCTTGCAACCTGACCATGAAACATGAATAAACACGCACACAAAAAGACATCTTTTAGTTCTTTGAAAAAGTTTCTAACTTTAAACTCAATGTCGAGTCGGCAAGTGCACAAAAGTAGTACATACTTGAGTTCTAAACACAATCAGAGCCATGAAATATTTTCATCGAGCTAAAAAAATCATAACGAATAAACAAACTTAAAAAGCGAAATTTCGAAAGAACCTGACCTGCATTTGATCAACTCAGTAGGACAAGCAAGGAACGAAACAGCGAAACCAGCGCCTGCGCCGCACACAAACTGTTGACTAATGGTCAAAGGAGCTCCAGGTTCAGACCTAAGCAGGCCTTCCATTTGACCTCTCACGGTGAACAAAACCGCATTGAAGGCAGCAACGGTTGCAAGCGGAGCTCCCATACCTTTGTACAAACCTTTAGGTCCTTCGGCAGCGACGGTCTGTTTAACCGCATCAATTGCACCAGTGTACCTTGGAGGTTGGCCCGGCGTCGGAGTCGGTTGGCTCTGAAGTTTGACCTTGATTGTGTCAAATGGATGACCTACAATTAGCTGAGCTGCTCCTCCAACAGTCCCTGAAGCCAAATCCTTCGCCGCATCCGCCATCTATCTCCAATAAACACAAAATCAACCAAATTTCTCAGAATCAACCAAAATCAAAACCTTTTGTAAATGAAACAATCCTTCAGATTAACATTTGATCTCACCAAATATCTCAGAATCCACCAAATTCAAAACTTTAGTTAATAGAGAGGATCCTTCAAGATTAGGCTTTGACTTAAACAAATCAAATCAACCAAATTTCTCAGAATCAACCAAAAGCAAAACTTTTAATTAATGAATTAATCCTTCAGATTTGACAAATCAACCAAATATTCTTAGAATACAAAACAACAATCGATATTATTCTAAAAAAAGATCTACTTTTTCCTCAGAAAATTGGGTTTTCAATGAGAAAAGTTTGAATCTTTAATCCCTATAACTCAGAATGCAAACCAAATATCGTTCAATTCGGAAGAATTCAGATTGAGAATCCAGGAAAAACATAACTCAATCGAGAGTGATTAGATTTTTTGGCTTACCAGGGAATGATTAAGAGGAAAAGCCAATCGCTATTGAATGGATCCGAGAAAGGTTCTCTCAATAAAAATAAAAGAAAACAAATCCAGATTCACAGGAGAGATTCAGAGACACAAACAAGTGATGAGATAAAATCC